GCAAGACTTAAGAACAACCCCCATAAACAAGCCTGAAGCGAGCTTCAAGAATCATATGAATTGAGGGCCAGTAGAAAATATGATAGGTCAGAAATGCAGGTATCACTGGCAGCATCAAGAATCAGCAATAAGGTGGCCAGGACTCCCATTTAAAAGCCATATCTGAAAGGTTAGTGGAAGTCCTGGCTCTGAAAACATAATCTTCTAATTTGTTATGTAATTCTTCCATAAAATATGCCAAAACTAACTCAAATTTTGAGAAAGATAATCAGCTGAATAAGTATGGACATGGATATATACAATGAAAAGCTCCAGGAGTGGGACCTACTACACAGTTCCATCACAGTTATCATCTGTTTTGCCAAAATCCTGAATTCTGAATTTGTACCTTACTCAGGTTTGCACTCAGGATGGCACTAAGAACAATCTGCTGCTTAAATGAAGATTCGTCCTTGGTTTCAGTCTCAGGGGTATTCTTATACAAACAGGACTGGAGACATGGACACCTAAAGTCAATTTTATACCAATTTGTTCGTAGTTGAGTATGCTCTTGTTTTATCTGGTCCAAACCTTGAGACTCATTTTAATGAGGATTCAGGAGGTTCTTGAGCCTGGAAATTAAATTTAAGCCTGGTTCTCAAAAGGTGACACTGTACAAGAAAGTTCAAGACAATATAAATATCAGGGCCTGCATAGTTTCTATTACTAAATAGTAATTATAGACAAGGGGAGATTAAAGAGGGGCAGTCATTGACTGAAGGACTGATTGCTTTCTTCCAACTGTAAGATGTGCCTCTTCACTCTCTATGCTGGTCTAGACTCAAACAATAGATCCAACAAGCCACTTGCTGTAGTGAATTCTGGCCAACAAGCCTTGAGATTCATGTACTGCTACTTCTCTTTCTGAAAGTAAAAGTTGTAGGCACTATGAAAGGGGTCTAGACTTTGACTTCTGTTCTTTTACATCCAAATGTAATTCAAGTGCCTAATTTTATCCAAAGTAAGAGAAGAGTCTGTCAGTCTAACTTTTTTTGAGGATGTCTATTACTGTGAACTCTGCACAGAAATTATTGGCTTAATTTTATAGAATGGTAGGACTCTTATTTACTTCATTAAAGTCAAGATTTTGCCCTGTTTCCTTTAGTAAAGATAAATTCCTACAGGTAGTTTTCAGAGTGATATCACAGAGAAACTCATGTTCTCATAATTCTCAGCCAATACAAAAGGCTACTTAATTATAAACAGTCCTGACTGTAAAAACAGACAGGCTTTTAAGCCATAAACCCATTCCTTCTGAAAACATAGAAATAAAGTCTGTAAAAGCAACTCTGAGTTCTCCTTTAAGGCTAGGATATAGAAATGGAAGAATAAAAGAACTATGCTAAGTCATTGATCCTTGGCATTTAAAAAAATCTGCCAATACATTATAGTCATATTCATACCCTTTCTGCCTTACCTGCCCCTACTCCCTACATTTGCTGCTAAACAGCATCCCAAGTCTGACAGTAGAAGAGGAAAGGGCAGAGAAAATGCAACAGTCTGCACAGTAGACTGTGTAGAAACAATTTTTCTGCCTTGAAACTAGGCACTTGTATGTTAAAGGCAAGAATAACGGATGCAGAAGAGTGCATACACAGGATGAACATGATTGTAGCCAGGGGAAGCAGATCAAAGAGGGTAACATATATATGCAATGCATATCAACTTGTTAAACAAATCAGTAACAACCAAAACACCACCGATAAAAAAATAAAACACCATGATATAAAATTAATCATTTTAGCCAGTTTAAAACCAAACAAAGAAGAAAAACTTCCAAAGGTGGTTGGTGATTGCAATTGCTACTGGTTTTGATAGACACATTAAAAGTCAGCTGCCTTTTCAGAAGGCAGATGCTCAGCCCTTAAAAGTTCTGACCTTATCAAAAAGTTTGTTCTATGAGTAAATTTCTACAGTATCAGGTCATATCAATATTACAAGAGGGTGTGACAGTTGTCTTTTTCCTGTTAATTGAAGTAAGAAAACCAATATGCAAGAACACTTCATGAAATATCAATCTAGTTCTGTTGCACCCAAAGTCACTATCAGAACTTACATTCTTTTTCATGCACTCAACTATCTATATTTAAAACAGCACAGATGTGTATCTTTTTGAATCCTTGGCAAGATATTTGGCTTTTAGTAGTTACGGCTTATAATTAGGGGTCTTTCCATTCCAGTGAACAAATGTTTCTTATAAATGAATGTAATTCTCTTTCTTACAAAACTGAAGTCTAGGAACAAAGTCCATTGGGTAAATTCCAGAAGTACCAATAATAATTCCAACTAGATGAACATTCTGTGCTTTCTATTTTGTTACAAGCACCAAAAAGTTACCTCTTTAGTTTTATCTTACGAATATAATTTAGGCCACTCCAAAAGTTGTGTCTTAGGTGTATCAAGGAGCATTTACTTTCTCCAAGCACCTAAAAGAAATATAAGACCTTTGATTTCTCAATGTGTTACTTATGTTTTATGAATTAGAAAAGTTTCTCTCTACTTTTATAGACTATTCATTGCAGTAATATAACATTCAATTTAATTCTGCAGTCAGTCACAAAGACAGAAAAATATCATTGGATCTTACTTTGCAGTGCACAGTGTGAACACTCAACCCTGTAAACAGCCATAAAAGTGAAAAATCACCTGAGGTCTTTATAGATATTTGACCATTTTTCTTCTGAGTTGTAAACTAGTATATTATGGTTTTGACAAGTTCATTGCTAACTGTATTTATTCATTTCACCCGGAATTTTCAAGAAGTCCTAAATTGCACACAAAATTTTGAAAATATCTCATTAAATGTACTTTACAGTAAATTTCTAATATGGTTGAAAGAGCCAAATGCCCACTCTTTTTCAATGGAACAACTACGTTTTAGATATAAGCTGATGCTGGAAGACCTTAGAGTTTAGATTAATCTTGGCACACACCCCAGACTAAATTCTTTTTTTCTACAAAAGGCATTCTAAAACATTAAAAAAATATTTTTCTCCCTCCCTCCCTTCCTTCTTCTCTATCTTCTAATGTCAGATAAAGTGGTGAAAAAATGTAAGAGAAATTCTTGTTGCCATGATGTAAATACATTCTGTAAAGATGCCCCTGCGCTTTTGTTAGTTTTGTCTTTTATCATATTTACCATGTGAGGAGAAGAGGCCTTCACAGTCATATCATTCTTCCTATACTCAGAACAGGGATCAGCTTTATGTAGGCCAGTACTGACAAATGCTTATTTAACGTTTTCTTACAGTCTTCACTGGCAGACTCAAAGCGAGGTGTTCCCACACTTCTTGCCATTAAATTCTTTTCCTCAGTGCCTACTTTGAAACTTCCTTGTTGTGACTGAAGCTTGTTTATATTGACAACAATCATGGGAATAGGTTATATCCTTCCTGCTTTGTTGATCTGATGTTCTGCTCAATTGTCTCCCTAGTTTTTCAATCTTTTCTCACAGATCATAAAACTATAGCTATGAAAATACTTGTGTAGCTTTCTAAAATATATAAACCAGGATACTAAATACATAACAAGGAACCATCTAAAATATGTTGTACAACATTCTTGAGATGAGTCATGTTTTGTAGGTACAGGTGGATAATCCTGCTTTCCATTAAGTTCACTAGCTTTGGTGCAAGTTCTAATGATCATAGTTGTCCCCTACAGTATGTGGGAGACAGAGAGCTCCCCATTCCTTAATTCAGGAATGTAAAGCAGATGTAAAGCAGATGGAGCAAACAGAGTAGACATGAAATTCCATCATTTTTTGATCAGTTTATTCCTACGTGGTTGTTGCTTTTATGACTTCCATTTAACGACATTCTTAAAATGAAATGGAGAACTGCTTTGCTAGATAAGGACTAGTAAGCTTGGAGTTTGTAGAAGTAAGCATCTAACTGCTCTTTTCAAAAAATCATTATGTTCCATGCACAATTTTAAAAATTACTTGTGTCTTCTGCATATCTGTTCATGCTGTGAAGGACTTTCAGAAAAAAAATTGAGTATGCAAACCAAAAATATATTTTATGCTACCTAAATGCCAAGAATCTGAAGTTATTACCTCTATTTGCTAGAGTAAAGTTCTTGCTAGAGTAAAGAATGATTTTGCATTTAATTTTTCAGGAATATAGTTTACTATCTCATTATTTTATCAAAATATCTTCAGATGCAATGCCCAGAAATTTCAAACTTATGAAAAGGACACTGTTTAAAGAGAGACAGTATGGCTAAACCATATCACTAAGATTTCTTTGAATGTCATCATCAGTTCTAAAGACTCCTTTCCTGAATTTGAATACTTTCCCTTGCATGCATGCATTTTTCACTTGTATAATTAAATATGCCTTTCCATATAGGGTGGTAAAGGCAAGTAACTATTCCTCAGTCAATCCAATGGGAAAACAACTGCAGTATGGGTAGGCCATTCATGCAGATAATAGCTATACTACAGGCTACTGTGTAGCAACTTAGAGTACACATAAACCATCACATCCTCCTAATCCCTATAGACTTAGTCCTTTTATGTCCTCCTTGATACTTGTTAAGCCTGTTAGTATTCCAGTGATAGGTTAGAATGGCATAATGGTTTGCCTACCCGGCACAATTTAGACTTTTTTTCCTTTTCATCTTATTCAATCCAGCTGCGGAGTTAGCTACACTGAAACAATTCAACACATGCTTATGTAATGTCTCACTGATGGTTATGTTTACTAAAGATAAAAATAGCAAGGAGGATACAAACTAGTCAGCAACAGATTTGAAATATCATGTTGCTGCAGATATTTCCATGGTGTTCTAAGTTGAATAGTGAAATTATTTCCCTATTGATCCTATATACCCACTGCTTGCTAGCATCATCAATAATTTAGCACTGCAGATATCCAAAATAATGTAACATATTCTCTTCTTTTTCACAACTATGTTTGCTTTCATACTTATGCCTATGTATTTTTCTTTTCCCCCAGGTAATGCATTTGTGGTGAGCCTAGCTTTGGCTGATCTGGTGGTGGCCTTGTATCCATATCCACTGGTGCTCTTAGCTATTTTCCACAATGGATGGACGCTGGGTGAAATGCACTGTAAAGCGAGTGGCTTTGTGATGGGACTGAGTGTAATAGGCTCTATTTTCAACATCACTGCAATTGCAATAAACCGATATTGCTATATATGTCATAGTTTTGCCTATGACAAAGTGTACAGCTGTTGGAACACGATGCTGTATGTGTCCTTAGTCTGGATATTAACAGTAATTGCAACTGTGCCAAATTTTTTTGTTGGCTCTTTAAAGTATGATCCACGCATCTATTCATGCACGTTTGTCCAGACTGCAAGCTCCTACTATACAATAGCTGTTGTGGTAATTCACTTCATTGTCCCTATCACCATTGTGAGCTTCTGCTACCTTCGAATTTGGGTTTTAGTGCTTCAAGTCAGAAGACGAGTCAAGTCAGAAACAAAGCCAAGATTGAAGCCAAGTGATTTCAGAAACTTTCTTACCATGTTTGTGGTTTTTGTGATTTTTGCCTTTTGCTGGGCACCACTTAACTTCATTGGACTGGCTGTAGCCATTGATCCTACAGAAATGGCACCAAAAGTTCCTGAATGGTTATTCATTATAAGCTACTTAATGGCCTATTTCAACAGCTGCCTTAATGCAATTATATACGGACTTCTTAACCAGAATTTTCGGAATGAATACAAACGAATTTTAATGTCACTGTGGATGCCAAGGCTTTTCTTCCAGGACACATCCAAAGGAGGGACAGATGGCCAGAAGAGCAAGCCTTCTCCTGCTCTAAACAACAATAACCAAATGAAAACTGATACCTTGTAACTATGTCATAGTCAATGCAAGAGTTTGAAATGGAGAAAACCAAGAATATAGTCGCAATGTTCTGGTCATTCCTGCTTACTTTTGGGGGGGATTCCCTCTGGATAACACTTTGTGACTGGAATACTGTCTTCTTGGTAAAGCACATAGCTCTCGATTTGTGATTTATACAAGATATCAATTGAAAATGTGTTTCAGAACTAAAGCAGCAGGTGGGTGCAAGCTGTTTTAGTTCTCAGAGCTGAATCCTGCTTCCAGACACATGAATGAGGTATTTTTTACTTCAGTGGGAGTTTTGCATTCTTTATAGAGTATCAGGATTCATTTCTTGGAAGGTGTAATGAAGGTACTTGTCTAGGGGTACAGCAGCTCATCAAGGATGTGGAGTGCTATTTTCCTCCCTTCTGACTCTGCATTTCTGTGCATGTACTGATGACAATAGTGGTATCTTTGAAACAAACCTGTAAATTAAAGAGAATAATATTTGTGTAAAAGCAAATATTAACATTAGAGACTTCCCTCATGGGTTTTTCATGTTTACATACATTGAGATTGGGAATGCAGTGCATTTACTCTGCTCATCTTTTGTGGTCAATTTTATGGTAGATAATACAATACAAATGGTTGATTTCTTGCCGATTTACTTCACACAATATTCATCTTTTAGAAAGGATTGAATTTTCATTGAACTTCATTTATTTACCTAAATATATACACCAAATTTTCTGTGGCACTTTAGCACACCTTACACATTTGCAATAGGCTGGAAAATATGACATATGACCTGTGATCATCTGGACTGGCAACCAGCCACTACATAAGACATCCTAGATCATCTCAAGAGATGCTAGACCAAAAGTAGCAGTCCTTTTGGCTATAATGGTAGCTGAGATACTTGGTTCACATGTCTACATCTAATCTTGAACAAAACCCTCTGTTGGTGTCTAATCTAAAACAACCTTGAAGGTTCCCAATAGTGGATATATGTTTCCTTCCATCTGTGATGATAAACACACATCCAAGGATGCGATGAACTCCTTTGTGAAGGTGCTGGTCTCCTTTCACTGACTTTAGAAGGAGCTTTGATTACTAGTTCAAACACCTCATTTTGGATAGCTAGACAGGGATTTATTTTGCCTAATTTGGGGTGACTTCAGTGTAGATGTTTGCCCAGATCCATTATCTAAATTCCCACTGTAGCCCATAGAGTTCTAGGAAATTATTCACTTTATCTTGAAACAGACATCTTTATTGGTAAGGGGAGCTGATCAATGGAACTCATTGACTGTACCTTCATTGACTGTAACAGAGATCAGGCAGCTCACGTAGACACATTTCAGGCAAAGACAGGTGATCTTAATCTCATAAATAGTGTACCTACAGTTCATATTTGCACTGTTCATAAAATAAAAGGATGACTTTCTATTTTATTTTCAAACTCAGCTTGAATTCAAACTGGATTTTTTCTTTTTCAGGTAACACATTGTAACTGTGCAGATCAGATTACAATCTGGGTTATACTCCACAGCATCAGAGTAATTTACACAATGTGGCTGTATTATCTCTGAATCAGATTAGGGACCTGTGTGCAAACAGACAGTCAATGTGAAGTTATTTTATCATTAGACTTGAAATGCACATTATTCTTAGTAGTGCTGTTCAGGGGAGAGAAGCTAGGTCTCTGGTAAATCCATGTCAGGTACTGAAATGGTAAAATGAGGAATTCAGGTTTCTAAGACATTCCAGTTTGGGTTTCCTGACCTGGCTGTTATAAAAAAATATTTCTGTAGTAATATTTACTTGCACAGCAAATATACTGCTTCTGAACCATAGAAGATGTATTAAGCATCACCCTTATGCTGTTCTACTGATAGAAAAATATCAAATAACCATAGCATTTTAAATGTTTTATTTGCTTTCCAAAAGCCTATGTAAAGTACAGCAAAGGAACAAATGTGATTATTCTTTTAGCTGCTTTCATGTTCTTCTGATAGCCAGAAGTCCAGTACATTAGGACTCGGACAGTAGTAGCCTCATAAGAAGCTGACACATTTGTGAATAGGAGTAATAAAGAGATGGGACAAATATAACCTGGTGGTACATAATAAAAATATTGTGGCTAAAAGTAGCAATCATTAATATGTAGGTTCTACCTGAAACATAATTTTGTAAGTCTGACACAGTTTTGATATGTATTGTCTTTCTTCATGACTTCCACACCAAGGTACTGAACAAAAAACTAATATACATGCATGTCTACGTGGGAAATTTCCCCCAGAGTAAATAAGGAGTTTCAAGAGTCTGGGAAAGTTGTAGGAAAGGACCTTAAGTTTGATTCACTGACAATCCTGCTTTCGCTGACTTCTTTGAGTACTCAATATTTTGACTTGAAAGTCAAAAATTGTTGACTGACTTAGAGATGAATTAATGTTAGAAGTAAATTGATTGACCTTGGTTTATCACTTGCTGGCATGAGTCAGAACAGAGCCCAGAACAGTCCAAAAATTATTGGTTTAGCTCCATAAAATAAATATAAATGTGGCAACCACTTGTTTGGCCGTAAAAGTGAGCTGCTATCATTCTCCCTACTCATGAGGAGAAGGCTTAAAATTTTTATGAAGTCATTTTGTAAATTATCTGTGCTCTTTAAAAATTAAAGATCACTTTAAGAATCCTTGTACTGGTATCTCCTCAGTGATCCTAAATGAAGCTTACACACGTAACTGAATAGAATCAAGAATCATAGAACGGTTTGGGTTGGAAAGGGACGCTAAAATCATCTAAATCCAACCCTCCTGTCATAGGCAGGGACACCTTCCACTAGACCAGGTTGCTCAGAGCCCCATCCAGCCTGGCTTTGGACACTTCCAGGGATGGGGCATCCATAACTTCTCTGGGCAACCTGTTCCAGAGCCTCACCACCCTCACAGTTAAGAATTTCTTTCTAATATCTAATCTAAACCCACTCTCTTTCTGTTTAAAGCCATTACCCCTTGTCTTGTCATTACATGCCCCTGTGAAGTCTGTCTGCATCTTTCTTATAAGCTCCCTTAAGGTACAGGAAGGTGCTCTAAGGTCTCCCTGGAGCCTTCTTTTCTCCAGGCTGAACCACCCCAGCTCTCTCAGCCTGTCCTTGTAGCACAGGTGCTCCAGCACCCTGATCATTTTTGTGGCCCCCTCTGGACTTGCTCCAACAGGTCCATTTCTTTCTTTTGCTGGGAGCCCCCGACCTGAATACAGTACTGGAACACAGTAATGCACTGTTGAAAGAAAGAAGTGTTCCAAAATCTGATCCCTCCTCACAAATGATAGAAAATTTTCTGAACAGCCCTAAATTATTAGAAGTGGATTCTACTACCACAGCATTTCCTGAATGGAACCCTGCACTGCATGGTGTCTGCAAAGCCAATGGACCTATTAATTTGCCAGGTACTGCTACTTGTTAAGTCCTGATGTATGGACAATAACTCATGCTGGTTAAAATAAGTTTTATACCATGCATTGCCACAAAGCATTCCATTTGAGTTTACCTGGAAGTCAATTAAATCCATAAAATTTAAATTTTCATGGAAATCAATCAAATGCACAAAAATTATATTAATTTAGATGACTAAATGCAGCTCTTGCATGGTGAAAACCCTTCATGTAACATATACTTCTACCTACATCAGAAGCCTTAAATTAATTTTTTCCCTTTTTCACTTTAAACTCAAAATCCATTTTCGCTCAATTCATGTGTGAAGAAAAAAATTATAAATGTACCATCAAGACAGGTGATATGGTTATAGCATGATTTTAAAGTATTGTCAGGAAGAACGTATCAGCTCTGAACAGATTTATGCATCTTTGAAAAAATTATTATTTTTCTTGAATAAAAGTATTTGCACCAGCATATCAGGCATAAACACTTTAAGAAAAAGGAGGAAAAAAAGTGAGGTAGATGCTGCATTCTGCATAAGGTAACTAGTGAAGGAAAAACTAGGACCTCAGGGACAAAGTCTGTTTCCAGAAAATTAATGTTATCTCAATTAAAAAGTGCTGTATTTTCTGTTCATTTAAAGAAATAAATGTCTCCTTGAATTGTTCTTACAATAGAATTCTGATTAGAAAAAAGTTTACCCTTTGCATAGATGGGTGAAGACCACTTGTAAATTCTGTTTCAGTAAAGTAGGAAGTGGAGGTGTGGTAAAGTCTAAATGAGACTGAAACAATGCATTAGCCTTCTCCTGTTGCTCTGTGCAAGTGAAAATTTCACTCTCAAGGAAGAACAGTCCTGTTACTGTTGACTTTCATGAGATCAGCTTTTCTTACTAAATTATTGCCTGCCTGGTTCATTCTCAGGGGCAGAAATGCACTTCTGTCTCTCCACTTCTTCCTTTAAGAACATATTTAGATAAAAATTATTGCTTTTATTTCCCAATTGTATTTTAATGAACTGCACAAGTCTGGGAATGTGCCAATGAATAAATATATATGGAAGATTGTATATATTTCTTAATATGTATATAACATAATTTTGATCATCTGAACAATTTGATGCACTTAAAGATGTTTACAGATTTAATGGAAAATGTGGAAGACAATTTATTTTCAGCCATCTGAATATGTTGCTATTTTAACTGGATCTTGCACACTTGGTCTATGACAATAAATGAGTATTTTACCTCAAGTTATGAGTGTGTAATGAGACCACTATGAATGTCAGCTGCAGAACACACAATTGATTCCTGTTCATTGTCTTATTAGTAACACCTCCAGCTGACTAATAAGATTGTTTTTTCAGTCTATATTTATAAATATTTTTTGTCATAACATTACTCTGGGTTAAGAACATTAAATCCATTGTCAAAAAATGGATACTCCTTATTTAACAAGTGGAGTTGGACGTTGAACCAACAAAGATCATGACACACTGTGAGACCCACTGGACCCAGTCACAGAGGTGGAACTGTCACATTCACTAACTGAAGACTCTTGTGTTCAACTCTGGGGGTTTTAGTCCTTGTGAATAGTTGGGAAAGTCCTATGGAGTATCTATCATTAGGGTTCACTCACAGAGTAAATTAATCTCATGGCATCGAGCAGGCATAATTCCAAATAGTTCAGTGGCTTCAGAACAAAGCCTTGAAATTGCTGTATAAAGGG